TCAGTTTTATAGAAAGTACAAACACACAGGCCACTAAAAACTAAAAATGACCACCTATAGAAAACTGAAACAGCAGAAAAGCAATGAGAAGCAACGAACAGTAGACTATATTAGATGTCATGCCAGAACTACCGCGCTACAGAGATTTAATGAAAGAGCGCAAAAGCACATTTCGGTTCTTGCGTTCTAAAATGATTACTGCTTAATTTGTGAAAACGCTGGAAACTGGGATTAATTTATTGCAGTGACGCAAAAAACGCGTGACGCTGTTTTGCTGAACTCCATCAAAGATCGAGCAACACGATCAACTCAATTGCCCATTGCAAACGATTTGGTACCTTCGATCAAAACTCTGCGGTATTGATTAAACGGCTGGTTGATGGGCAGGTTTACTTAAAACCTAAAGTTTAGTGTACAAACTTCGATACAATAATTCTATAATATTTGAACGTAACTTCCCGTTTTGCACCACGTACTGATTATTAGTCGCCATTCCGATAAATCAGGAACAATTTTAACCGCGAGTTACAGGTATCTGACACTCCTGTAGTATCATGCATGAGCGTACAAGTAAAGCTATGGGCGCTTTAACTTGTTAAAGGGTCACAGTTGTCACAAGCGACCTCTGCGTGGTGGTTAACATCAATTGCAGAACATTATCAAACATATTCAGCCGTGAAGATTTTGATGCGGAATAGGATAATCCCATCGGTGTGTGTTTTGACCAATAAGCAGCTCGATCGACGACACGAGTCCCAATCCCTCAAAAGCGAATCTACCGTAACACTTTGACTTCTGCTTATGAGTGCGTCGTGCGCATTCGGATTACTTCTTCATCTGTCACAAATGGCATATTTCGTTACTGGAGACTCGTATCATGGGATACCAGTGCATCATATGGTTTTGTTTTCCTTGTCCATCTAATTGAAATACGTCAGTTACTTTGTATTGACAGCAGGCAAATGCTGGACTACATTATGATAATAGTGCATAAATGGGGTTAAGCAGTCATTTTGGTTTTTCATCATTATCTTCATCTTCTGTCACCTCTTCTACGTTCCGGTCGCGTAGGAAATCGCGTCAGACAAAGCTTTCCATGTTTCCGATCCTGTGCCAGAGTCTGAGCTTTGGTAGAAGACAATTGGGATCTGGAACAGACTCCTTCCATTTATTTGCACCAGGTTAATCTTGGCTATCTCCTGGGCCTTCTGCTGCTAGGAGTCGCAAGAAACAATTGCTTAACCTTCCTTTCTGGGGGCATTCGCAATGCATATCCAAACCATCGCAGTTGTGACTTCTCAATCTGGAAAAGCAAAGGCTGTACACCAAAACTCCTCCGGATGTCAGTGTTCCGGAAGTCATTTTAGTGCTTCCATCTCTTTTTGTCTTTTGGCAATAATGATGTTCATGACGCCTGCAGCGCCTTAAAAGATAGCATGATTTATTCGATTAAAGCCACAATCCCGCTGAAGAAAGTGTGATGAAAATGCCCTGATTTACAGCGAACCTGCTATCCCTTGAAGAGCGATGTGTTTGAATTCATTGTTCGATAGAACTAGATGTTAATACATTAGGCATTTATGTACAGGAACCAATCTATCAAATGAAGAATACAATGGCAAGTCACAATTTACGGCGTTACTGTAATTTACAACGAAACATTCCTGCTAGTCTTGAATCTTTGATTTAGACGCTGAAATATATTTTACTGTTTTTCGGGGCAACTGCAAACATCGCGTGCCCAAAAATTTCAGTTTTAAGCTACAGCTAAAATAAGAGGAAGGAGCGACGATGGTCGTGCAATTCAAATGTCAAAATTGCATATTTGATGGGACTGACAATTAAAATTGTATGCAAATTCTCCAACTTTTGTATCATTTATTGATTGGACGTCATACCGCGATGGTATTTATTTTCCTGAACACTGACAGCAATGGAAGAGACTTATGTTGTAGTTTTGTTCCTAGTCGGTGGTCGAACTGCTTCAGTTGTACGATAATTAAAATGACAACTTATGCGATATAATCATCATTTGTGATAGATGACCATGTTAATATTTTTAACTACGTGAACCTTTCTTTCCATTTCAGATGTCATAAAACGGTTGTCAAAATTTTATGAATGGACTTTTAGTTATTCATAGGGTTCAGTTTTACCTGAAGACTGTTTCGGAAAAAAACGTTTTCACAAATGCATCTTGTTTGCATTATAATCGTTATACAATCAAACAACCTTTATCATCTGTGTGGGATAAAGCTGGTCTACAAAAATTGTAGTTACTTAAATTTCGCGTCATTTCCCATCAATTAACATGCCCCTCCACGTGTTTAGATGTACGACGACTCTGACCGACAAAAGACTGATCAGGTTTCAAAATACAATCCATGCTTTACATGTTGCTTTGCAACTGACGACGCGATACAGCAATTTCATGAATCGAAAAACGATTATGTTGAATTTTCGTTACCTTGATACTGCAGGAATAAGCTAAATAACCAGATAACCTACAGATTTGCATAAGAAACGATATATATATATAATTATTTCCGCCTAACTGCATTAGTCCAAAGCGCAAAATCTCAGAAGCAGCCTAACCACCCATTTAAAACGGTGTGATCAAGCCTGATTGATTAGTTAATCTTAAATTCACATAGACCATCGGCTTTTCAACCAAATAGTTAACATTAGTCAAGCTGCACTTCCCATTCATTCTGCGCGCTCTACGCTATATACAAACTGGACTTAATTACAAGGCATAGCTTAATCTCTTATTCATCACTGTTACTTCGTCGCGTCGCGATAAAATCGAATATGTCAACAAGAATTCAACCCGTTAAAACGAATAACCTCCATACAAATACGGAGGAGTAATAAAAATACCGCGTGAATATTTATCAATGCTACAAAATATTCGACTTATATACTGTACAGAAATTCGATGCACAGAAAAAAAGTTCTTTTGACTCGTTCTCGTATCTTTGCAAAAGCGACAAGTCAAAAACTAAAGGTAGAAAGCATCGCACTAAAAATGGATCTTTATTTTTCCGCTTTCACAACATTATGCGTCTTCGGCGTCGTTGCCAACGAAATGCGTCCGCCAAAGCTGAACCTCGTCTTCGGCGCCGTTTTCGCCTTCGCCGCCGCCGATGAATCGTCTGATGTCACTTTCTTCTTCGCCAGAAGAATGCCGTTGGTGACAGAAGGTCTGACGTCTTTGGCGACGTATGTACCGGCGCTTCGCCTCCTCGAAATCACGCATGAGGGAGCTTTTGGTCCAGTGGACAAATGAGGCTTCTTGACAACAGGAACTTTAGTGGTCGCTACCATCTTTGGCGATACTGCGTTTAAATTACTGGCACTGGGGTCGGCAGATGTTGAAGTACCGGATGAGCCTTTTGCACCGCCGTTAGCAACTTTAAGTTTCATAAGATTCCGGTTGCACGCTTCCGACTGCGGCGACCCCGTAGGCAGCGGATCCGACGGACAATGATTCGGTTCAAATGTTTCCGTTCGCATTTTTGACAACTCTGCCGGTTCCACCTCCGCTTTGTCGTCACGTTTCTGTTAAATACAACATCCGTCATTAATCAACCAACATTAAACACCACACCAACGAATTTTAGAATTAAGAAAAATAACTGAGGGCTTTAAGAATAACGGAGAGTTTTGCCTTCAGTCATCAATATTTTAATAGGGCAGATATAAAATGGCAGAATAAATACCAGAATATTATGAAATAACATTATATCAAAAATTACAACATCAGTGATCGAAACAAACAGATAAGGTAATACCTAAAACATCTGCACGGTGTTCTGAAACCTGGAGAAAGCTTCTTATTGAATCAAGGCATTCAATTTCGTGGAGCATGAAAAACAAGTGCCAGTAAAATATGTGAGGCTTGGAAAAGACAGGTACAGCGGAGTGACAAAGATAATTAAAAATGCATGCAGAAAAGTACAAGTATTTAACATGCGGGTAGGGGTTCATCAAGGTTCAGCATGGGTCGTAGTATTGTCTCCCATGACAAAAGATCTGCAAGAAACAACCCAGACTCCATGCTTTCTATAGATGAAATAGGACTGAACAGTGAAAGCAACAGAAGCAAAAACCAAGGCGTGGAGGAAAGTCGTTGAAAAATATACTGTTCAACTCAGCAAAGCCAAGTAACAATACATCATGAGCCATTTCAGTAGTGAAAACCAGCGAATCACTGAAAGTATCGGGCTTTAGGGCCCGTCAAATCCAAAAATTCAAGTATATTGGTTTTATCTTTCAAGGATAAGCGGGAAATTGACAGATAATCAAGAAATCGGTCGAGAAACAAATGATCAAATGGAGAGACGTGAGTGGCGTACAATTCAATGCGAAAGTTACCATCAAACTAAGAGGAAGGTATATAGAACGATAGTAAGACCGGTATTTCTGTACGGATCGAAATGATGGGCTACTCTGAAAAGACACGAACAACAGCTATACCCCGTATAAACAAGAATGCAATGCTCAGGTGGATGTGCGGTGTCAGCGAAAAGGACTATATTCGGAATACTTTCATAAAAGGCACTTTACGTGTAACACCAATTTAAAAAAAACTGATCGAAAGGAAGGTCCGTTAGTTCGGCCATGCAAGAAGAACATCCGATAAGTACGTCAGAAGTGTGTTATAAGCAGTGGAACTGCCAGGGAAGAAAAAAGAAGATCAACGCGACGTTGTAAAGAACAATATGAAAATGCGAGGAGTAACCGAAGATCTGAGCAAAGATGGAAAACTATGAAGGCAGTTGACTTGGACAGTGGATTCCTGTCAAAAAAAATTAGGGAACAAAAAACAGAATAATATATTATATATTTTGAGCTTTTGAACAAATTCCGTAAATCACATAGACACAGCAGATTAGACTATTCAACTATAGTCACAATTAATGCGATTTGTAGATACGCATATAATCTATATTCAGATAACAGCACGGTGAAGAAAGTCAAAGACCATTTGTCAAAGTGTTCGGCAAGCATGGAAAAGCGCATGATGAAAATGCCTGACTGAATTTAGCACTGAACACGTAGTTAGCTATGAATGGGCGAATACGACATTATCTCTCACGCATACGTCATACGTGAGATGCAGATGATTCATTCGGATATTTAAATATTCTGTACCGTTCATATGGTGCATTGCATAGAATATAATACAAATAAATGCATTCACAAGTCGTAGCGACAATAGGAAAACAAAATAACTTATCGCTACAAAAGACCTCATGAACAACTGTTGTAGCCAAATATACTTCGGACGGTCAGGGGTACCGCGTAGAAGCGAGTGAAGGTTTAATTTCATACGCTACATCATCGTTGTATGAGCCGACGCTCATTCCGGTAGATGTTATACCGGTTCGAGGAGAGCTGTTCTTCCTACAACGTAGATATCCACTCGAGGTAGGCGTGTTCGTCTGCTCACTTCAGTGCTGAAAACAGCTGTCACACTTACCGACTACACTTTATTAAACGTGTTGACGATGTGTTCAGTTTTCTGTAAAAAAAGACGGAAAGAAAAAAATCAACGCCCTTCTCAAAACTGTGCATCGAAAGCATTCGGCTGCTTAGCAAAGCCGTCCATTCATGTTCGGGAAGGAAAAACTCAAACTGTTAACCAACAAGAAGCATGCATACCGACAAGGCGGCCGGCGACGAAGACCCGTTATGGATGTTGCTCAGGGTCTTTTTGCAGATGCACGTCCCGGAATCAATGCAGCCACGTTCGCTGTTTCTCGCTCCTAGCAACAACTGGCGAAGAGTCTTATTCTCGACTTGTAGACGCGTGATCTCCTCAATGTCCAGTTCCGATTGCTCCTCTCCGTGAGTGATGATTTCGTTTACGATCCTGGCGAAATGGACAAGTCTAGAGTTTCCGTCGTACAACATCGTTTTCTAAAACACTTGGTTAAAGTTGGCGGAATTTGCATAAATAGTTTACAGAGCATGGAAAAGAAATAATCTACCTACACGTTTCAGATCAAGCTTTAAATATCGGTCGAAAAGGGGTCGGTTAAAATCGAGAAACGTGAATGACCGGCTACAACTGTATGACACCACATCTGCAATGGGTATTACGGGAGCGTTGTTGCTCCCAGACTGACGTATCGAAAGACTCTACTCATCTGAAGAACACAAATATACACACTGCGCACATGTTAAAGTTAATAATGCCGCGTCATTCATGATTTTAACGGTTACCCGTGTCACTTGGATCATTTAAACAGGTCAGTAATCAGCGAAGAATCGCGCCTGCCGTTACGCCCGCTATTCCTCGCGGTTACGAGCCTTCTTTCTCTAAGCGCAACCTCTCCGGCTACTGACATAATCATAACACCGTCGCAAACCAGTGTGTCCGCAGGTTTAAGGACCAGCGAAGACCACCCTATCAGTGAGCCGAGCTAAAAACATGCCCCTCCGTAGCTTCTCCCTGTTATTTTCGCCGAGGACATATTTCACTTCTGCCCACTGTCCGATTACCGCGTTAAGGATGTATTCGCGATGTAAAATGTCTAATATATTTCTTTCCGTCGCTCTATCGGAGACAAAACAACTGGCAATCTCAGGAATTTGTGAGCAACAACTACTTACAGCCATAAAAAAATTGCCGCTGCCGACAGGAGGATAGAAATGAAGACGCAGATGCGCTCGAAGAGTTGACCTGAAGTAAAGACGTTTCCGTTGCGCTGTAGTTCCTTCAGAATCCTGTATGTTCTCTTGGTTGCACTTCATACAAACATGCCGACACACTCGCGAAAATGATCTCAGGGAACAGCTTACAGGACTGTGAGAACAGACAAACTGGACGACGTGATTCAGATCTTCCCTCTCGGCGCTCTTGAATGACGCGACTATTTCTGACACCTTTCAGCTTGATGCCATCTTTTCCATTTCCAGTCAGCAGCTGAAAATCTCCGCTAGAGTCCTACACCGCATCTGACCATCAGACCTGCAATTTCAATTGTAAGGCCGTCTCTCCCTGTCATCATCTTCCTTTACTTGCTGCGCGACATGCTAAACTTTAGTTATGAGGACCTAGGGTGCACTTCCTTGGGGCTATTGGAGTGACGGTGTGGGAATGCGCGACTTCAGATGGCAGGAAACGATTTTTTGAAACTAGCTTTAGTTGACTACAAATCCGATTCTTCAAATCTTCTTCGCGTATTTCCTATTCCTTGAAAAATCGAATTATCGACTTTCCAGATGTCATTAACCTATTTTTGTTGTAGTATCTCGTAAAAGACAAGAATGCCGCATGCCATTTCTGATCATTTCTTCAATGGCTGGCTTAACGTTATTTGCTTCACCAGTGTTTCACAGTTGTAGGTGTAAACGGCGAGGGAACTCCGGGTTCGTTTACCAGATGGCGTCCTTTCACGTAGGATGCTTAGCAGCATCTCCTCAGTCAAATACCGAACAGCCGCCATTGAACGGGTCGTGAGGCGCGCGGGATACCGATACATAATTTATTCGTGCTGTCACCACAATATATTTTGCCACCTACGGAAATGGTTGACGGTGTCTGGTTAACCATGTATGGAATGGCAAATGACAGATTAGAGCTAAAAACTGTCAGCTGCTGGCCCTTACAGAAAGAGAACTGGCTGCATTAGCTAATTGAGGATACAATGACTAGTGCCTCGAATAGTCGTAGGTAGGTCAAGTGCCATCGGTGTTTACGAAAGCAATTACGAATGAAACATATATTCAATCAGGACAATTGACCAATGAATATCCATGCCTGTGATGTGTGACCATTTCAAAAGGCTTTATATTAATACCAGACAAAGTCAGTTCTACACAAAAGTCCAAAGATGATACTGCTCGTCATATGCAAGTTACTATCACCAGGTGCAGATTTTCTTCCGTGTTTCAACGTGTATGCAATAAGTAGCTGCTGTCAGTGATGACAAATCAACAGTTTGCATTTTAAGTTCAAAAAATCGTCATTCCAATAGTTGCGACTTGAGGTAAAATGCTTAACAGGTGGGATTACCTCTCCAGATATGCCGAGGTCGATTTCGGCTGAGGAGCAACAACTGTCTCAACCAAAACTTTTCTTGAATAAGGTATTTACGACATATTGCTTCAGAATTGGGCTAAATAATCGGTAGAGCGTCAGACTAGGAACGAAGATGCCCAAAGTTCGAGCCTCGTCGGACCAATCGCCAATCGCTTTT